ATCTGTTCTTTCATATCAGTCATGCAGGGTTTGGTCTGTGGAAGAAATATTTAAACTAAATCAGTGTACTGTGACAAGAGCATCATTGTTATTTGTCACTAAAATCCTCTTGCCAGACAACTTTCAAACGATTGTTAAGCAAATCACTACCTGACAGTCGAGCTCCATGGCCAACCAGCACACAGACCTCCAGACACTGTACTTCTGGTACTGGTTTGTTCAGTTCAGTACAGTAGATCTACTGGTCTGGAGTACTGGGTGGGTTTTTAATTCTTTAGTTTGGACTAGAGTTACTTCCTGTGATCAAACCAACACTAGAATTGACGGCTGCTACAGTTGGCAGTGATGCAGGGCTGTTTCTGTTGCCACAGTTTTTTAAGCAACACTCGGACTTTAAATTACACCAGAATGTGTAACAGGGTCCCATGTACAGTAATCTCTTGTTTCTGTAATTATACAAAGTGAGTAAACTTCTTTTGCCTCCAAAGGACAGGCCCTGTGTGGTTGATACAGTGGTCTAGTGGTGCCCTGATGGGGTGCTGGCCCTTCATACCCTTTTCGCCCCACTGGGATTACAGTCTTGCCTGGATGCCATACAAATGCAGAGAAATATCATTAAACATGGTTTGTACTGGGGGTCACTGGCTGTGCACAGTGTTCTCCTGTACACCTGGTGATATGCAGGGAACGAGAGTGCAGAAAACTTCATAATTTTTAAATCATATGCCAGATGAAAAGTGGGAATGCCTCTTTGAGATACTGTATAAAACTACACGGTACTGTGTTATTCCTTTGGCTTGCACAAGGAAAGTTGTGAAAAACAGTCATGATATAAAGTTTTCTTTGAGCTTTTGAGTGTAATCAAACTGCCTTGGTTGGCTACAGTCCTCTGGGGTGACTACAGTCCTCTGGGGTGACCACATCCCTCTGAGCCAATGTCTGTTTTCATGATATTTGTTGATTGTGAACAGATAAACGTTCCTTGTTGATTCAGCTGGTGTTGGGGTGGGAGGTCCGGTTACCTGCTTGGGAGCTTCCCTGTAGAGTTCCTTCTGCCACATGATAATAATTAACAAACCATGGCTGTAGCAACAGCAAACAAACACTGGCGGAGAAACAATGAGGCCATTGTTAGGTTATTTTTTAGTTAGATAGATATTCAGAGATTTGTTGTCTAGGAATGTTTAGTGCAGACAGGGTGACTAGCTTAGGCTGTTAACTGTTCAGCCTGCAGTGCAGACTGCAGGCACGTCAAGGTTACAGGAAAAGAGCTGTTAGTGTCAACTGTAATGCTAGTCTTAATATTTGTCTTAATGTGTAAGGTTATGTCCAATTGTTTTAGATACACACCACGAAAACAACAGTCACGCACCTTGACTTTTCCTCATGTTTTGGCTAAACGATAGAGCAGCTGCAAAGCTTGCTTATCGGGTGGCGTCACGGTTTGACGCCCCTTGTAGCATGGGCTAGCCCAAAAATGATTAATATTATATAGGTTGTTGGGTCCAGACATCTTCAGCTTTTCTGCTGCCTGCAGGCAGAGGAGTGAGAGAGCTCTGGACGTGTAATTTGGCAGGCTGGGGGTTGGAAGATCTCTGGACTTGAAGTGTGAATTCTTGCCTGTGACTCTTTGAATAAACCAGCACGGTTATATTTTTTATATACTCAAGTGGTCTGAGTCGTCCCTCGGAGTTCCTGGTTTGAAAGAACCGGATGAGGCTTTATAATGGTTTTCAGCCTTTACCATATTTACATTACATTACTCATCACGGGAGGACTCAGGGTGTGACCACACTAATGCAGCTTCCATTTGACAGCACCATCTCTCTCTTCTTGATCTTTAATCCCAATATTTTGTTTCCATTCTGTAGAATGAGCCACACCAACCTCTTATCCAGTGGCTAAATCTTTAATCTTTTAATAGCAGACCTTAACAGTACTTAACCTCAAAGTCACAGCAGCCATTCCACCAACTACAAGAGGAGTTTCCCCTTACCAACATGGCTTAGATAAAATATGTTTGATAAACCAAAGACCACTGAGTGCAGTAACCCAGGTTATTAAATGCCACACCAGCCACAACTGAGCACCAAATAGCCAAAGATAGGATTTGATGTATACAAAAGCAGAAACAAGGCAGCAAGAAGCAGCAAATGTTCTGGACATACTCTATGACTTCCAGAGGGTTGATGTGCTATAAACATGCAGTTCACTATGGTTGAGCTGAACTGCTCATACAGCAATAAGTACTAGTGCAGCCACATGTGCAGGGCCACTGACTGTCACATGGCTTTAGTGCACATGATGCTACAGAACCCATGAGTGTGAAGTGCAACATCACGAAAGCAGTTTGAACCTTAACTTCACCTCCGGCGAGGATCAATTAACAGTGCATGTTAAATTCCCCACCTTTAGTAATATTAGTATATTAGTGCTATAACCACACACTTGGAAGGCATGCATGGAACGGTCTAAGGTGAGATGACAAAACTCCAAAACTCCAAAACCCTCCCAAGAATGGCACATTTCCTATATGCAGCAGAACCACTGAAAAGCACTATTTGACATATACTGTTATATTTATCTATGAACCCAGATGAATCAGGTCAATTCAAGGCCAAGAATGCTGGTGTCCAGCCAAGAATCCAGTGGGTTATCCACCGAGCCAGTTACATATTCATGGCTTTCTGAAGCAGAAGTGTCAGTTAGGAGGCTCACTGAATGATGAGCCTCGCTCAGCAAATGGTAGCTTATGACAGAGAGTGATAGGGCCGTGATACTGTTGGCCTGTCATTTATCACCACTAGCCTCTACACAACATGTCTTTCCAGAGGAGATCGTTGTTGTTACTGTGGGCAGTCAACATCCACAGAACATGATGTCTATATTTTTAAATCGCTGGTACATTTCTTTAGAAATAGCCCTTGTAAAAATAACCTGGCAACCTGGACTGTGGAAACCACCTCATCCATACCATAACCCCCTCAAATGCATAGCACAAGAACTCCCCCTCCTCACAAATCCCAGTTTAATGCCTGATCACGTGCACAGTAGTTAAAGGCGGCCAATTGTGAAGAACACAACACACACACACACACACACACACACACACACACACACACACACACACCATAGAAGTTGAAAAAGGCGATCAAAGCCAACTGGGCCTATAGGGCCGCTGCCTTGTCAAGCAGCTCAGTCATCTAATAAAAAGCATCTGCCAGGTGCCCTCTAGTCCATCTGGAGGAACTTCACGGCAACACAGGTAAACTTGACGCACACTCGGTTTAATGATGTTTTCCACTGTTCACTGAAAACTGCTGTATCTTGTTAAAGACGGCAGCACTAAGAACAGTACAGTAATAATATTTATTAGTGAAATTAATTGTAATATGATGGCAAAGTGGAAAAAAACTGAAACGATGTGGAATGTAAACAGGAATACAATGTTTTACAGCACAAATGAGCATCTGAAAGAACGTAACATTAATAATGCTGGTCATGCTTTAACTTTATATTTGTCTTGTTTGTTCTAAACAGACTATATGACAAACGTAATGTCCGCAGGTTTATCTTCCCCATTTGACGAGATTCTTTAAAGATTAATCTTATTATGTACAGTCTACTGTATGCTTTGAAACAATAAAATGAAATCAATAAAACTAAGGTAAAAAGTGAAAAAAAACTATCATGAATGTAGCAGTCAAATCCTCTACTACAAAATCAAGTATTTTATGTATTTAACTGCAGTGTGGATGTTTTTAGCAGCAGGTCTAGCAGCCTGTTTCACATTCAACCCAAACTGTTTTAATATTCACTTTAAAATCACCTTACAAAGTTTGTGGATTTTGAGTTGCACTGCAGTGAAAACTGTCTGCAGATTATTATGATTCCAACTTTTTAGTAGTTTTACAACACTGATATGCATATTTTGTTTGATTATAAAGAATGCAGTTCACTCCTAAATCACCAAACCATGATACAATTTGTCTGTACACAATAAAGTACATTATCGATGTGCTGTTGTACTGATATCGTCCTTATTTGAACATTTTAAAGCATAAAGGCTGTATTGTTTGCACTTGGTCAGTTTATGTTTTTGCCACCGTGTCTGTTATTTATTGTGTTATTGAAATTACTGAATTAAAAATTACTGAAATTTCCCAATTGAGGGATCAATACAGTGCCTACCTACCTACCTACCTATTTTTATTGGTTTGTGAGTACACTAAAGAAAATTCATATAAATTACACAAAAGAATTACACTGGAAAAAATATTAAATTGATTCACTGAATCCTCATGATCTGCTATCAGTGAAAACCTGCAAACATTACTCTACATGAAACACAGCTGACATCCTGTACAGAATCTAGAGTTACTTTTATAAAATATGTCTAAATTATGTCTGTCCATCACTTTTCCAGCTCTTACACATCCAACTGATGTTGACTGCTCCCATGTTTTCATATGTTCCATCGGATCGTTGAAAGTAAAGTAACTGTTTATAAAGAAATAAAAGGAGCTGTTAAGTAGTAGGTTGATCAAAGTGACAGCATTTCTAATATAATATTTTGTATAAAACCAAACTGTAATGACATGAAAATAAAAGCTGCAACGTCCATTTTACATGTTGATCATATTGTTGCTTTAAGTTTATGCTGCACATTTGCTGTTTGTCCAACAGTTATTTCACAGCCGTTTTCATTACAGCAGGTTTGTACTTCAAAGAATATTAGAAATGTTTTTACATTTTAGCATACATATCAGTTTGATTTAATAATTTTGGCATTTGTAACTGATTATCCACAGTAGACCTTTACTTTGAAGGAGGAGTATTCTGATTGTGTCTTGTTTAATAATTTGACTGAAGCATCATTCCACTAAAGTCTTGTTATCTTCAAATGCAGTAATATTTCTGCAGAGCAAGTCATACACTTCATATTAAAGGTCATTTACATTATATTCCTCCTCACCAGGCTTAAACTAACCCTCAGGCCTATGGAGAACCAGAGTGTAGATACAAATATCCTGCTGTTGGAGGGTCTACAGGTCACCCCTCAGTCCTCCATTCCTGTCTTCATCCTCCTCCTCCTCATCTACATCTTCATCATGGTGTCAAACATCGGCCTTTTGATCCTGATCTCCATGGAGACGAGCCTCCACCAGCCCATGTACCTGCTCTTCTGTAACATGAGTGTTAACGACGTATTCGGGGCCACGGCCATCATTCCTCGCTTGCTGGGTGACATTTTCACTCTGCCTACAGAACGACACATTCACTACATCGAATGTGTCATTCAGGCCTTTTGTGCTCATATTTATGGAGGCGTCTCTCACACAGCACTCATGATCATGGCCTTTGACCGGTACATGGCCATCTGTAATCCCATGCGTTATGTCCATCCTGTTGGGCCTCTGCATGCGCCTGTCACGCTGCAAGCGGACTATTGCAGGCCCATTCTGTGACAACGCCTCCTTGTTCAAGCTGTCCTGTGACAACATCCTCATCAACAACATCTATGGGCTCAGCTACACAGCTGTCCTGCTAGGCTTGTCTGCTGGTGGTGTAATTTTCACCTACCTGAGGATCACCATGGTGTGTCTGAGCAGCAAGAACAAGGTGCTGAACAGTCGTGCGCTGCAGACATGCACCACCCACCTGGCTGTCTACATTATTATGTACTTTTCATGCATTCTCTTTATCATTTTCCATCGTTTCCCTGATTTATCGGAACAAAGGAAGCTGGCGTCTATTGTGTTTCATGTGGTCCCTCCTGCTTTGAACACAGTTATCTACGGACTACAAATCAAAACTGTCAGACAAAAAGTTTTCTTTATGTTTACCAGGAACACGATGAAGATGATAGAGTAATAAATATTAAATGAATGAAATCTTCCCAATAATGTAACTGTTTTACATATTGGAATATTCAGGGATGCAATTAAAAACACTTCTATTTTATTTTAAAAAGTTTTTGGAATTTGTTGTTTTTAACAATGTAACTGAAAATAATGAACTGATTTGGATGAAATGTATTGGAGAGGTGGGGTATGGCTCATTGAAGAGTTGATTAGATTTTGGTGCTGATCCCTCTCATAAATTGGATGCATGAATTTAAAGATTCCTTACTATTGTGAGAGCCAGAAAGGTTCCTGACTGTATGTGGCCAAAGAGGCCGACTACACTGCTGAGCACTGAGCACATATGGAGACAAAGCCCTGGGTCAGTGACAGTTGCCTACTCATTGTCATTGGAAACCAAGTGCTGTGTGAGACAGGGACTGAAGGAGCCTGGCAAGGTGACAGCAAACCGTTGGGCAAAGATCTCCTCTATGCAGAGACAGCTGGGCAAGAGCCTGATGGCAGAGACCAGGCACAAAGGTACACACATACCCGAGCACACACATATATTCATTCTCAAATTCATATACATGCATGGCTGTGTATGTATGCATGTATATGCATGAGATTATGTAAATATAAGTATTCAGTTTATGGCTATACGGCTTCTCGTACACTAGCTGTGGTTTACTCTCTCTACAACCGGTAAACCTCTGTTTGTGGGTGCATGAGCCACACAGCAACACTGGGTTCATATGTATCCCAGTGTGTACACACCATCTCAACACAGTTTTACTGGGGGAAATGACACTCATGGGGGGAACAAAGTTTGATGCAAGACCGGCTGGCTGTCAGCAGGCAGGGTGGGGGAGGGGGTCAGACTGAACTGAAGATGTCTGCCTCAACCCGTGTAATGACCAATCTGACACCAAAACTACCTACAGTAACCGGTGTTGGGGAGCAGTGAACTACATGTAATTAACAAGTAATTTACCTACATTTTGCAGTAGCTTGCTGGCACTTCTACACTTGTATTTGTGTAGTGGCGGAACTAGTTAAATTACATTTTTGCCATTTTGTGTGGAGTTAACCATTGCAACTACAACTATTTGGGAAAGGAATGATTTCTTCATAAAGTTCCCAGCCAGTGTTGCATGTGAGCAGGTTTTCAGCATTCACAAGGACATCTGAGTGCAGAAAGGATCTGCATTTTGGATAAAAACTTTGAGAGACTGCTCCTGCGTCATATAGACAAGAGATCCTGCAATGAGAGGTAGCAATAAAAGATAGATCCGGGTATTTAGTTCAAGCTGTTTACACGGTCTAAACAGCAAGTTCATGACTGTTTTTGTTGGTCTGTACAAGTCAGATGTTGCAAAACTGACAAGTAACACAACAGGCTCATAGTTTTTAGACCAGAGGTAAAGTCAGTCAAACAGTAAAGATGCACTTATAAAAATAAAGGCCCAGATGGGATTTAGAATACATAAACTCAGTCCAGGGGCATTTTTTGCTGGCATGAGTTGCTGAAGCACATTGTTCCGAGATCAGTGACACAACAAACCCTGGAGCTCCAGGGGCCACTCATTCAGCTTAAAAACAGTGTTAGCCCAGGTCTGAGTGGGAGTGGCCTCAACAGAGGCAAGGATGAGACACACACACTCAGACACAACCTAGACGTCATGTTCTCTTTGCTCACTGCATAATGCCAATCGTACTTTTAACATATTACTGTCTACATTATAAGCTCTGAACCCAGAAACCATCTGACATGATTCAAACTCCTCATTTCTTCATTTGATTAGAATGTAGATATTTATATTTTATGAAACACTTTCTGCACAAATAATCATTATTATGTACAACATGTGTTATGTTTAGCTGAAAGTGAGTACCTTGGGATCCATCCTAGAAAAATGAAGATGATCAAATCAGATTAGTTTTAAAGGCAAACACATTAGGTTCTGAAAATAGCAGTCACATCTTCTACTGCAAAACCAAGTGGTTTGAAGTAATTCAGTTTAGATGAGATATAACCAGGCTTTCATAGGTTTCTGGACTTAAAGCTACATAGCAGAGACTTCCAACCATGAACCACTGAAACTCATGTCTGAAGTTTTCATTTTTTTAAATGGGGGCTGTTTGTGTCCTTTGCTCCTAAATCATCAAACCACGTTGCTGCCTCCGTTTGTCACCAAGACATTATGTGTGTTTTGTGCAGCTTATGTGAAAGGTTTTTTAAAAATCAATAATGATTCTCTAATTTTCATGCACATAATGATTTTATGCTGTTGCCACAGTTTTATGTCTCACTGTAATGTCCTGAGGATTCTGTTTAGGTTTAAGGTTTTGTGAATTTGTTGAAGGAAATGCAAATCAAATACAGGGAAATGGCAGAAACACTGACTCTTGAATCACTGAATCCTTGTCAGCGTTTTGCGTTGAATGAAAACCTGCAGACACGGATCTAGGTGAAACATGGCTGAAATGCTGTAGAGAAACCAGAACCGTGCTGTTATAAAATATGTCCAGGTCATTTCGTTTTTGCCAAGTCTCTCAAATGTCCTCACTGATGTTGAGTGCTGCCCAGTTTTCATATCTTCCACCTGATCACTGACAGTAATGCAGCTAGTCCCAGAAAAACAGGGGGCTGTTCAATTGGTTCATAAACTGTAATGACATGAAAATAAAAGCTGCAACATCCATTTTACATGTTGATCATATTGTTGCTTTACATTTATGCGGCATATTTACTGCTTGTCCAACAGTTATTTCACAGCCATTTTCATTACAGCAGGTTTGTACTTCAAAGAACATGGGAAATGATGTTTTTACATTTTAGCATACCTATCAGTTTGATTTAATGATTTTGGTATTTGTAACTGATTATCCACAGTAGACTTTACTTTGAAGGAGTATTCGGATTGTGTCTTGTTTAATAATTTGACTGGTGCATCATTCCACTAAGTCAGATTTCACTGTGAGGGGAATGCACATCTAGTATGCTCAATTTGTGCATGTTATTTAATTTTTTGCGTTGAACAGCTCCACTCTTCCTTTTAGATGCTGCTGCTGAAATAGTTGAGAAGCCATTTTTACTGGCAACAGGGCCTTTCCAGACTAGGCACAATGTACCATGCCAGACCTTAGTGTGCCATGCCCTGGCCCACTTGGAAGAGTTGGGCCCAGGTGCAGTTTACCTGGACTCTGGCACGTTAGTGTGACCGACGTCTGTGCTTGGAAAACCAACACTAGGCACTACCTGAGAGTGCTTCTCTTCAGCTGCTTAGTGGTAATCAGCATGTTACAGCCTGGACTGTTTCAAGTACAGAGTGGGATCTAGCCAACAGTAAGGAAGGAGAAACTCATGCTTGGGCACAGTACAAGCCAAGTTTACATAGTGTGGGTACACCTTTATTTTACATTTTGGTATTTACCCAGGCCTTGTTTTCTTCAAATTTAATGTTCAGTGCAGCAAAGTAAAAATGTTAATACGGTAGTTGGTTCACAAACTGTAATGGCATGAAAATAAAAGCTGCATTGTCCATTTTACATGTTGATCATATTGTTGCTTTACGTTTATGCTGCACATTTGCTGCTTGTCCAACAGTTATTTCACAGCCATTTTCATTACAGCAGGTTTGTACTTCAAAAAACATGGGAAATGATGTTTTTGCACTTTAGGAGTAATTATTTGTGAGTGAAGTTTACTGTGCATCATATGGACAAATACCAAACGGCATATCAGTTTGATTTAATGATTTTGGTATTTGTAACTGATTATCCACAGCAGACCTTTACTTTGAAGGAGGAGTATTCTAATTGTGTCTTGTTTAATAATTTGACTGGTGCATTGTTCCACTAAATCAGAAATCACTGTGAGGGGAATGCAAATCCACTCTTAAGGAAAACTATTTTAACATGCTCAATTTATGCACGTAAAATATTTTATTCTCTGCTTTCAACATCTCTCCTCCTTCTTCTAAGTGCTACTGCTGAGGCATTTGAGAAACCATTTCTTCCACTGTTAGTGTACATCTACCCAGGTCTTGTTATCTTCACCAGTAATATTTCTGCAGAACAAGTCATACACTTCATATTAAAGGTCATTTACATTATATTTCTCCTCACCAGGCTTAAACCAAACCTCAGGCCTATGGAGAACCAGAGTGTAGATACAAATATCCTGCTGCTGGAGGGTCTACAGGTCACCCCTCAGTCCTCCATTCCTGTCTTCATCTTCCTCCTCCTCATCTACATCTTCATCATGGTGTCAAACATCGGCCTTTTGATCCTGATCTCCATGGAGACGAGCCTCCACCAGCCCATGTACCTGCTCTTCTGTAACATGAGTGTTAACGACGTATTCGGGGCCACGGCCATCATTCCTCGCTTGCTGGGTGACATTTTCACTCTGCCTACAGAACGACACATTCACTACATCGAATGTGTCATTCAGGCCTTTTGTGCTCAATTTTATGCAGGTGTCTCTCACACAGCGCTCATGATCACGGCCTTTGACCGGTACGTGGCCATCTGTAACCCCCTACGTTACACCACTATCATGACCAACAGGATGGTGGTGAAGCTGTCGGTGTCGGCCTGGGTGGTCATTTTTGTTATGGTGTCCATCCTGGTGGGCCTCAGCGTGCGCCTGTCACGCTGCAGGCGGACTATTGCAGGCCCGTTCTGTGACAACGCCTCCTTGTTCAAGCTGTCCTGTGACAACATCCTCATCAACAACATCTATGGGCTCAGCTACACAGCTGTCCTGCTAGGCTTGTCTGCTGGTGGTGTAATTTTCACCTACCTGAGGATCACCATGGTGTGTCTGAGCAGCAAGAACAAGGTGCTGAACAGTCGTGCGCTGCAGACATGCACCAGTCACCTGGCTATGTACATTATTATGTATTTTTCAGGCATTATCAGTATCATTCTTCATCGTTTCCCTGACTTATCAGAGCAAAGGAAGCTGGCATCTATTGCGTTTCACATAGTCCCTCCTGCTTTGAACACAGTTATCTACGGACTACAAATCAAAGCCCTCAGACAAAAGGTTTTCTTCATGTTTACAGGAAATCCAATGAAGGGGACTTAACTTAATGAAACGTAAATTATTGCTAATGTTGTCATCTCCTTTATTGTAATATTCAGGGGTGCAATTACAAGGATTCATTTCAAATTAAAGGTTTGTACACTTTACAAATTAACTGCATTTACCTAAACATAGTTTTAGTAATTATTCGATGACTGAAAGGTGATGGATTATTCTATTGAATTTTGTGGCTGCAGAGAGCAGCAGTAACACAAACACTGTATGGGGCTTATTACTGCAGATTCCATGGACACAAAAATGAAATGCTCAAAAAAAAAAAATAATAAATTAAAAAGGGAACACTTAATCACACCTCAGATTTTGATAAATTTTTTCAGTTGACACCTTGACTAAGATACATTGTATTATTTGTCCTGAACAAAATTACAACAGTCAACAGCAACCAAAATCAAAGTGAAAAATTGAAACCAGAGGTTCATTCCAGTTAAATAATTTCATCACAGCAACTCATAATGCGACTGAAGCGTGCACAGCCCTGACATGTTTGTATGCACTCCTGACAATGCCTGGGTATGCTCATGATGAGTTGGCAGATGATGTTCTGGGGGGGGTCTCATCCCATAGGTGCACAGTTGGCTTTAGGTCAGGGGAACATGAGGGCCAGTCAGCAGCCTTTGGCATCCAGGAACCACCTACACACCCTGGCCACATGAGACCACTGTCTTGCACCAGGAGGAAGCCAGGGCCCACTGCACCAGTGTAAGGTCTGACAGTTGCTCTGAGGTTTTCATCCTGGTCCATCACAGCAGTCAGAGCACCGTTGGCTATGATATGGAGGTCTGTGTGGCCCTCCAAGGATGTGCCTCCCCAGACCATCACCGACCCACCCCAAGCCGGTCATGCTCCATGATGTTAGACATCGTGGCGTTCATCGCATTGTCGCCAGACTCTTTCACGCATGCTCAGGGTGAACCTATTCTCATCTGTAAAGAGAACCCTTGGATGTATGTTCAAAGGATAACGCATTATGCTCAGGGTGAACCTATTCTCATCTGTAAAGAGAACCGGGTGCCAGTGGTGGACCTGCCAATTCTTGTGTTCTGTGGCAAATGCCAGTCGAGCTGCATGGTGTGAACACAGGTCGTACTAGAGGACATTGGGCCCTCATGCACCCTGTTTCTAACAGTGTGCTCAGAAACATGCACACCAGTAGCTGCTGGGGGTCTCGTTGTAGGGCTCTCGCAGTGTTCCTCCTTGTACAATGGAGCAGATACCAGTCCTGCTGCTGGGTTTGTGTCCTTCTACAGCCCTGTCCAGCTATCCTGGTGGCTCTTTCGTGCTGAGAGACACACCAAAACCTATTGTGACTCCACATATGCATGTGCCATCTTAAAGTAATTGGACTGGTCCATGAATTACATCATTTTGATGCCCACCAGCCGAATGCGCCGTCGTCTCCACTAACTTGGCCATCTTTCCCCAGAAGCCTGGCTCTCATTACCCTGGTTTTGCACCTGCTGCAGCCACAGTGGTTATTACTCTGTGAGCTACTCTCTCAGTTACTGCAGTGATGTAGTTACACTTGACAGTATGTTTTTGTTCAATTTCAGAGGTGTTTTTGAATGGCACTTGTCCTACTGTATAGTGCAACCCGGGTCTTGAACTAATCCTAATATCATCTTGGCAAAACACACAGAACTTGCTCCTACAAGTTATCGTTAACACTTTAGAATACAACCCACAATTTACAGTGCAAGTAAACTGAATTTACACTACCTTTTTGTAATAGTAGTGCATCTGTACCAATACAAACATGTAAGGTTTTTGGGATAAGGGGCTAACAAGCTAGAAACTGAAATTATTTATACTGTAACTATTTTCAACCAAGGGCTATCGTAATATGAGAGGTGAAACAAGACTACACCTCTGTGGACTGGGCAAGTAAGTTTGCGGCATGCGTTTGCAGGTTTTCTCTTACAGGAAGTGGTGGATCAGGCAGGTAGGTAGGTAGGTAGGTAGGTAGGTATACAGGTTAGAACAGGGTCTTGCCTTTACAGGATATACGCTGTACAAAATAACCCTCCAGAGAGGTTAAACAAGTGAGTGACAAGTCCTCTACATAGGTTAATGGGAAACAGAGCAACAGGCGAAAATGCCAGATGAAAAATCCTCAGTACTGATGGGCAGGTAATAGAGAGATATGCCAACAAAAAACTCCTCAGTGTACCAGTGTGCACACTAAAAGAAACACTGAGCTCAGGTAAAGAATACGAGCGTACACAAGGTAATAATCCTCAGAAAAACTGATACACATCTCAGCCAGACTGGCAACATGAGAGGTCCAACACAAATCCAGATTATTACAGGAGTTAAAACATCCTGAAAATATAAGGTGCAGACCAGCAGTGAAAACTTACAGGACCGATGAGGTCAGAAACAGGAACTGCATCAGGTAAAGCAAAGGTCTAGAATCAGGTTCAGGCTATCAGAGAGACTATCAGGTGCTGATAAGGCAGAGCAGGTTATTACAGACAGAAGATAAGAAGCCACAGGTGAAAACAGTCAGGGGACTAATGAGCAGCATAAAGCTGAGGCAGGTGACATAGTGAGAGACAGGAAGTGTCTTAAAAATAAAAGCCTCAGAACAGGAAACCAGGAAGTGATCATGACAGCAGTCTGCAGAAAGATTCTCCCGTCCTCCTCTGCTGTAAACTAAATCAGTGCTCTGCCTGGGGGATATACGCAGCATTGCAGCGGGCTGCCACACACTGCAATTTGGGACATGAACATGGTGGCGCTGCGTCATCGGGGGGTGGGATATGATTCCAGCCATGCTCAGAGCAAGGACTGAGTGGGGAGCAGCCACAGATCATGTAGGGTTCCACAACTGTCCAGCAATTTAGGAGGCTGCATCTGTCTGTTACATACAAGTTGGAATTACAGAAAGAAGTTATGTCTCTAACTTTTGAATTTATGGAAAGAAAGTTTTATGTCTTACATCTGCTACCTCAGTTAAGTTACTTAAATTCAATACCTGTGGAGCAACAGATCACTCAATAATCCGCAGTAAAATGTGCCAAGGAATGGGAGAGCGTTCCTATGGAAGCTCAGTGTGGAGTTAAATGATGTTTACCCATTATTTGGCCACAGATAGGGGGGTGTCAGGCCGTGCCGTCATACCCCACAGAAAGCAGCTCCATTTTCCAGACCTAACCTGCCCTTAACACAAAGCACCCTGAACCCTGTCCTCACCCAAACAAAGAGCAGATATGTGGCTTGACCCACAGTGTCTGCACTGCATTTGTTCAGGTTAAGCAGCCGCTGGTCCAGCTGGCTTGGAGTGGCGGTTTCCAGAGCTGGGTCCACTCTGCTGTCCAACCACTGACACTGTCTAACAGAAGAAGACTGTTAACAATTCCAGTGAGGTTGAAACTTTACACCTCACTTTTTATCTGGTTGGTCAAAAAGAAATATTGCCTGTTTGCCTAGGCCACAATACCTTTTTTGAGTTTAATTTGTCATGTACCTGGAAAGTTAAACATTTTCAGTGATTGTTTGACTTAGAAAATAGAAGATTGTTTTCACACCTAGATCGGGCAGAGGTTTGGATCTGGGTCCTCAGTGTGGAATCGTGCCATGTTTGTGAAATGTGCTAAGACAACAGGGGTCCAACTACAATGCACAGCAGCAAACAGCCAAATGCAAACATCGTGTTGCTGAAGCACATTGTTCTGAGATCAGTGACACAACAAACCCTGGAACCCCAGGGGCCACTCATTCAGCTTAAAAACAGTGTTAGCCCAGGTCTGAGTGGGCATCACGTCAACAGAGGTAAGCATGAGACACACACTCAGACACAACCTAGACGTCATGTTCTCTTTGCTCACTGCATAATGCCAATTGTACTTTTAACATATTACTGTCTACATTATAAGCTCTGAACCCAGAGACCATCTGACATGATTCAAACTCCTCAGTTCTTCATTTGATTAGAATGTAGATGATATTTATATTTTATGAAACACTTTCTGCACAAATAATCATTATTATGTACAGTATGTGTTATGTTTAGCTGAAAGTGAGTACCTTGGAATCCATCCTGGAAAAATGAAGATGATCAAATCAAATTAGTTTTAAAGGCAAACACATTAAGTTCTGAAAATAGCAGTCACATCTTCTACTGCAAAACCAAGTGGTTTGAAGTAATTCAGTTTAGATGAGATTTGACCAGGCTTTCATAGGTTTCTGGACTTAAAGCTACATAGCAGAGACTTCCAACCATGAACCACTGAAACTCATGTCTGAAGTTTTCATTTTTTTAAATGGGGGCTGTTTGTGTCCTTTGCTCCTAAATCATCAAACCACGTTGCTGCCTCCGTTTGTCACCAAGACATTATGTGTGTTTTGTGCAGCTTATGTGAAAGGTTTTTTAAAAATCAATAATGATTCTCTAATTTTCATGCACATGATGATTTTATGCTGTTGTCAGTTTTATGTCTCACTGTAATGTCCTGAGGATTCTGTTTAGGTTTAAGGTTTTGTGAATTTGTTGAAGGAAATGCAAATCAAATACAGGGAAATGGCAGAAACACTGACTCTTGAATCACTGAATCCTTGTCAGCGTTTTGCGTTGAATGAAAACCTGCAGACACGGATCTAGGTGAAACATGGCTGAAATGCTGTAGAGAAACCAGAACCGTGCTGTTATAAAATATGTCCAGGTCATTTCGTTTTTGCCAAGTCTCTCAAATGTCCTCACTGATGTTGAGTGCTGCCCAGTTTTCATATCTTCCACCTGATCACTGACAGTAATGCAGCTAGTCCCAGAAAAACAGGGGGCTGTTCAATTGGTTCATAAACTGTAATGACATGAAAATAAAAGCTGCAACATCCATTTTACATGTTGATCATATTGTTGCTTTACGTTTATGCTGCACATTTGCTGCTTGTCCAACAGTTATTTCACAGCCATTTTCATTACGGCAGGTTTGTACTTCAAAAAACATGGGAAATGATGTTTTTGCACTTTAAGAGTAATTATTTGTCAGTGTTTGAAGTTTACTGTCCATCATATGTACAAATACCAAACAGCTTATCAGTTTGATTTAATGAATTTGGTATTTGTAACTGATTATCCACAGTAGACCTTTACTTTGAAGGAGGAGTATTCTGATTGTGTCTTGTTTAATAATTTGACTGATGCATTGTTCCACTAAATCAGAAATCACTGTGAGGGGAATGCAAATCCGCTCTTAAGGAAAACTATTTTAACATGCTCAATTTATGCACGTAAAATATTTTATTCTCTGCTTTCAATATCTCTCCTCCTTCTTCTAAGTGCTACTGCTGAGGCATTTGAGAAACCATTTCTTCCACTGTTAGTGTACATCTACCCAGGTCTTGTTATCTTCACCAGTAATATTTCTGCAGAACAAGTCATACACTTCATATTAAAAGTAATTTACATTACATTTCTCCTCACCAGGCTTAAACCAAACCTCAGGCCTATGGAGAACCAGAGTGTAGATACAAATATCCTGCTGCTGGAGGGTCTACAGGTCACCCCTCAGTCCTCCATTCCTGTCTTCATCTTCCTCCTCCTCATCTACATCTTCATCATGGTGTCAAACATCGGCCTTTTGATCCTGATCTCCATGGAGACGAGCCTCCACCAGCCCATGTACCTGCTTTTCTGTAACATGAGTGTTAACGACGTATTCGGGGCCACGGCCATCATTCCTCGCTTGCTGAGTGACATTTTCACTCTGCCTACAGAACGACACATTCACTACATCGAATGTGTCATTCAGGCCTTTTGTGCTCAATTTTATGCAGGTGTCTCTCACACAGCACTCATGATCATGGCCTTTGACCGGTACGTGGCCATCTGTAACCCCCTACGTTACACCACTATCATGACCAACAGGATGGTGGTGAAGCTGTCGGTGTCGGCCTGGGTGGTCATTTTTGTTATGGTGTCCATCCTGGTGGGCCTCAGCGTGCGCCTGTCACGCTGCAGGCGGACTATTGCAGGCCCGTTCTGTGACAACGCCTCCTTGTTCAAGCTGTCCTGTGACAACATCCTCATCAACAACATCTATGGGCTCAGCTACACAGCTGTCCTGCTAGGCTTGTCTGCTGGTGGTGTAATTTTCACCTACCTGAGGATCACCATGGTGTGTCTGAGCAGCAAGAACAAGGTGCTGAACAGTCGTGCGCTGCAGACATGCACCAGTCACCTGGCTATGTACATTATTATGTATTTTTCAGGCATTATCAGTATCATTCTTCATCGTTTCCCTGACTTATCAGAGCAAAGGAAGCTGGCATCTATTGCGTTTCACATAGTCCCTCCTGCTTTGAACACAGTTATCTACGGACTACAAATCAAAGCCCTCAGACAAAAGGTTTTCTTCATGTTTACAGGAAATCCAATGAAGGGGACTTAACTTAATGAAACGTAAATTATTGCTAATGTTGTCATCTCCTTTATTGTAATATTCAGGGGTGCAATTACAAGGATTCATTTCAAATTAAAGGTTTGTACACTTTACAAATTAACTGCATTTACCTAAACATAGTTTTAGTAATTATTCGATGACTGAAAGGTGATGGATTATTCTATTGAATTTTGTGGCTGCAGAGAGCAGCAGTAACACAAACACTGTATGGGGCTTATTACTGCAGATTCCATGGACACAAAAATGAAATGCTCAAAAAAAAATAATAATAAATTAAAAAGGGAACACTTAATCACACCTCAGATTTTGATAAATTTTTTCAGTTGACACCTTGACTAAGATACATTGTATTATTTGTCCTGAACAAAATTACAACAGTCAACAGCAACCAAAATCAAAGTGAAAAATTGAAACCAGAGGTTCATTCCAGTTAAATAATTTCATCACAGCAACTCATAATGCGACTGAAGCGTGCACAGCCCTGACATGTTTGTATGCACTCCTGACAATGCCTGGGTATGCTCATGATGAGTTGGCAGATGATGTTCTGGGGGGGGTCTCATCCCATAGGTGCACAGTTGGCTTTAGGTCAGGGGAACATGAGGGCCAGTCAGCAGCCTTTGGCATCCAGGAACCACCTACACACCCTGGCCACATGAGACCACTGTCTTGCACCAGGAGGAAGCCAGGGCCCACTGCACCAGTGTAAGGTCTGACAGTTGCTCTGAGGTTTTCATCCTGGTCCATCACAGCAGTCAGAGCACCGTTGGCTATGATATGGAGGTCTGTGTGGCCCTCCAAGGATGTGCCTCCCCAGACCATCACCGACCCACCCCAAGCCGGTCATGCTCCATGATGTTAGACATCGTGGCGTTCATCGCATTGTCGCCAGACTCTTTCACGCATGCTCAGGGTGAACCTATTCTCATCTGTAAAGAGAACCGGGTGCCAGTGGTGGACCTGCCAATTCTTGTGTTCTGTGGCAAATGCCAGTCGAGCTGCATGGTGTGAACACAGGTCGTACTAGAGGACATTGGGCCCTCATGCACCCTGTTTCTAACAGTGTGCTCAGAAACATGCACACCAGTAGCTGCTGGGGGTCTCGTTGTAGGGCTCTCGCAGTGTTCCTCCTTGTACAATGGAGCAGATACCAGTCCTGCTGCTGGGTTTGTGTCCTTCTACAGCCCTGTCCAGCTATCCTGGTGGCTCTTTCGTGCTGAGAGACACACCAAAACCTATTGTGACTCCACATATGCATGTGCCATCTTAAAGTAATTGGACTGGTCCATGAATTACATCATTTTGATGCCCACCAGCCGAATGCGCCGTCGTCTCCACTAACTTGGCCATCTTTCCCCAGAAGCCTGGCTCTCATTACCCTGGTTTTGCACCTGCTGCAGCCACAGTGGTTATTACTCTGTGAGCTACTCTCTCAGTTACTGCAGTGATGTAGTTACACTTGACAGTATGTTTTTGTTCAATTTCAGAGGTGTTTTTGAATGGCACTTGTCCTACTGTATAGTGCAACCCGGGTCTTGAACTAATCCTAATATCATCTTGGCAAAACACACAGAACTTGCTCCTACAAGTTATCGTTAACACTTTAGAATACAACCCACAATTTACAGTGCAAGTAAACTGAATTTACACTACCTTTTTGTAATAGTAGTGCATCTGTACCAATACAAACATGTAAGGTTTTTGGGATAAGGGGCTAACAAGCTAGAAACTGAAATTATTTATACTGTAACTATTTTCAACCAAGGGCTATCGTAATATGAGAGGTGAAACAAGACTACACCTCTGTGGACTGGGCAAGTAAGTTTGCGGCATGCGTTTGCAGGTTTTCTCTTACAGGAAGTGGTGGATCAGGCAGGTAGGTAGGTATACAGGTTAGAACAGGGTCTTGCCTTTACAGGATATACGCTGTACAAAATAACCCTCCAGAGAGGTTAAACAAGTGAGTGACAAGTCCTCTACATAGGTTAATGGGAAACAGAGCAACAGGCGAAAATGCCAGATGAAAAATCCTCAGTACTGATGGGCAGGTAATAGAGAGATATGCCAACAAAAAACTCCTCAGTGTACCAGTGTGCACACTAAAAGAAACACTGAGCTCAGGTAAAGAATACGAGCGTACACAAGGTAATAATCCTCAGAAAAACTGATACACATCTCAGCCAGACTGGCAACATGAGAGGTCCAACACAAATCCAGATTATTACAGGAGTTAAAACATCCTGAAAATATAAGGTGCAGACCAGCAGTGAAAACTTACAGGACCGATGAGGTCAGAAACAGGAACTGCATCAGGTAAAGCAAAGGTCTAGAATCAGGTTCAGGCTATCAGAGAGACTATCAGGTGCTGATAAGGCAGAGCAGGTTATTACAGACAGAAGATAAGAAGCCACAGGTGAAAACAGTCAGGGGACTAATGAGCAGCATAAAGCTGAGGCAGGTGACATAGTGAGAGACAGGAAGTGTCTTAAAAATAAAAGCCTCAGAACAGGAAACCAGGAAGTGATCATGACAGCAGTCTGCAGAAAGATTCTCCCGTCCTCCTCTGCTGTAAACTAAATCAGTGCTCTGCCTGGGGGATATACGCAGCATTGCAGCGGGCTGCCACACACTGCAATTTGGGACATGAACATGGTGGCGCTGCGTCATCGGGGGGTGGGATATGATTCCAGCCATGCTCAGAGCAAGGACTGAGTGGGGAGCAGCCACAGATCATGTAGGGTTCCACAACTGTCCAGCAATTTAGGAGGCTGCATCTGTCTGTTACATACAAGTTGGAATTACAGAAAGAAGTTATGTCTCTAACTTTTGAATTTATGGAAAGAAAGTTTTATGTCTTACATCTGCTACCTCAGTTAAGTTACTTAAATTCAATACCTGTGGAGCAACAGATCACTCAATAATCCGCAGTAAAATGTGCCAAGGAATGGGAGAGCGTTCCTATGGAAGCTCAGTGTGGAGTTAAATGATGTTTACCCATTATTTGGCCACAGATAGGGGGGTGTCAGGCCGTGCCGTCATACCCCACAGAAAGCAGCTCCATTTTCCAGACCTAACCTGCCCTTAACACAAAGCACCCTGAACCCTGTCCTCACCCAAACAAAGAGCAGATATGTGGCTTGACCCACAGTGTCTGCACTGCATTTGTTCAGGTTAAGCAGCCGCTGGTCCAGCTGGGCTGGGGAGGCGGGGG